GACGATGGGGCTTGTTGTGTAGAGCAGCAGCAACCAACAGCAGCAGCAGCAACAGCAGCAGCAGCAGCAGCAGCAGCAGCAGCAGCAGCAGCTTGCTGCTTGTGTGTATATATACTTCATCAAACTGCGTGCAAAAGACACAGCATGCGTCGTCTCCTCAGAGCTGCTGCAGCAGCTGCTGCAGCAGCCTTCCTCCTGAGCCATAGAATCTCCCCTGTATTGGTAAGACACTGCAGCAGCAGCAACAGCAGCAGCAGCAACAGCAGCAGCAGCAGTATCAGCAGTAGTAGCAGCACTAGGTGCAGCAGCAACAGTTATAACGGCAGCAGCAGAAACAGCAGCAGCAGCAGCAGCAGCAGCAGCAGCAGCAGCTGTGTCTCTTTGGTATCTTCTTTGTGCTGCAGGGAGAGACAAACGGCGGAGACAGAGCGCAAGGCAATTCAAAGCATGCAGGTATGCAGCAGCAGCAGCAGCAGCAGCAGCAGCAATAGCAGCAGCAGCAGCAGCAATAGCAGCAGCAGCAGCAGCAACAGCAGCAGCAGGAGTAGCATCAGCATAGAAGTTGCTGCTGCTGCTGCTGCAGCAGCTGCCACTGCATCTGCGTGTTGTATGCATGCTGCTGTTGCTGAGAGTCAATCCCAGCAGCAGCAGCAGCAGCAGCAGCAGCAGCAGCAACAGCAGCAGCAGCAACAGCAGCACCAGTTAAACAAAAAACTAAAACAAACTGTCTCCTTTCTGCTGCAGGTGCTGTCTCCTCTTCTCCTGCTCGCCACACTGTCTCCTTTCTTCACAACGGAGACAGTTGCTACAGCCAACCAAAACAAACAAAACACAAACACACCCACTCACGCAACTCAAACCCTTGGGGGCCCCCCTTGGGGGCCCCCAAAGGGGGCCCCATGGGGGCCCCCATGGGGGGGCCCCCCGTCTCTCTGATCGACCGTGGGGGCCCCCGTAGTGATATGGCCTACAAGGGGGCCCCCGAAGGGGGCCCCCAAGGGGGGTTTAACGGGGGCCCCCATGGGGCCCCCCAAGGGGGTCTTGATGGGGGCCCCCATGGGGGCTCTATGGGGGGCCCCCATGGGGGCCCCCAAGGGGGCCCCCAAGGGGGCTTCAAGGGGGGCCCCCAGGGGGCCCCCCAGGGGGCCCCCCGGGGGGGCCCCAAGGTATCGTTAGGTGGTGGTGTGTCTCCTCGGTTTGGGGGTTTTGGTGAGGGTTTAGGGTTTAAGATGAAGGGTTTAGGGGGAGGTGCATCTGCTGCTACTTCTTTTGCTGGTGTTGCTGCTGGTGCTTCTCTTAGTGCTGCACCTGCTGCTGCTGCTGCTGCTGCTGCTGCATCTTCTGCTGCTGCTGCTGCTGGTGATCTGTCTATCGAAGCAAGACAAGAACTGCTGCGGCTGCTGGATCACCACAGCACCTCTTTTGTCTCTTCTTCTTACTCCGTCAAAATACAAACAAAACAAAAAAAAATATTAAAACAATATCTCAAGGGAGAGACAAATAAACATAATATAAATGAAACACAAACTGTCTCCTTTATGCAGCAAGCTGTTGGTAAGCATTTTGTTGCTGCTGTTGCTGCTGTTGCTGCTGTTGTTGCTGCTGCTGCTGTTGTTGCTGCTGTTGCTGCTGCTGCTGCTGTTGTTGCTGCTGTTGCTGCTGCTGTTGTTGCTGCTGTTGCTGCTGCTGCTGTTGCTGTTGGTGCTGTTGCTGCTGCTGCTGCTGCTGCTCCTCCTGCTGCTGCTGCTGTTGCAGTATCTGCTGCAGCAGATCTTCCTGCTGCAGCCTTTGCCTCAGCAGCAGCAGCTCTATACAAACAACAACTAAACAAACAAACAAAAAAAAACACAAACAAACGAACAAACAAAAAACAAACAAACAAATAAATAAATAAACAAATAAATAAACAAATAAACAAATAAACAAATAAACAAACAAATAAATAAATATATTTATTGTGTGTGTGTGTATTAGGTTCTTCTGGGGCTAGCATAGAGTCTTACACAAGCAGCGGCGCTCAGATATATTTAGATAAAAAGTGTAAAAGTAAAGAAAAAGGAGACAGGGGAGAATACTATGGGGCCCGTATAGTATATATATCTTCTTCTCTGTCTCCTTTTTTATTTTTTTGTTTTTATGCTGATGAATTAGACTTAAATACTGTCTCTCTCGGGTGTATTGATGGATGCATGCAACCACTTGCATGCAGAGGAAATATAAAAAATAATTTTTATAAAAATTTACAAAATAATTTTACGCTCCAGCAACAGAGACAAATTGATGTCGATCATAAATATATCAAAAACGAATTCTGCTGTAAGA